GGTGGGCGCTGGAACCTTGTGTGGTGAGTGGCTAATCTCTCCCCTCCACCCCCCTGCACCATAAATATTAAGTTAGCAAATATACCCCCAGCACAGAAAAGTCTTGCATACCCCGCCGGTTATACTCGTGTGCAGGGTATACACGATTTTTGTTTACTCCAACAGCAAAAACTGCGGGGTATATTCCAGGGTGGGGTATATTCCGGGGTGGGGTATATTCGCTAAATTACGGTATATGAGGAAAAGCTGTAGGTGGAAATCAAGTCAAAATACACTTTAAATTTCTGTCAATTTTAAAAAGTCTTGCATACCCCGCCGGTTATACTCGTGTGCAGGGTATACACGATTTTTGTTTACTCCAACAGCAAAAACTGCGGGGTATATTCCAGGGTGGGGTATATTCCGGGGTGGGGTATATTCGCTAAATTACGGTATATGAGGAAAAGCTGTAGGTGGAAATCAAGTCAAAATACACTTTAAATTTCTGTCAATTTTAATAAGGTAATCTAAGAAGTTAACTATTTCTCTTGATTGCATCCCTTTAGAGATCCCTTGGATCAGTCTGAAAATAGAAGAAAGTAAGTTTCTCTGCTAACAAATACAAGTTTCCTCATTTCATAACAGTTTTTAAGTGCATTGCTATGGAAAGTGTTTTAGGAAATTTGGAGACTGAAAAGTTCTGTATCCATAACAAACCCAGATATTGATTATATAGGAGAAAATTATAATCTAATGTATGTTTATTTTGAAGGCTTCCTTATTTACAGTAATCAACTTCACGTCTGTTTGTTTAAATTCATTATTTACCTATTCGATTTTTTTAGAAAGGCCAATAATTTTCAAAAAGCAACCTAATCATTTGCTTTAGAAGAGCCTTTTCGTATTCAAGTAGTTTCTGACAATTGTGGAAACATTTTTGTGAATTAACATAAAAGCAACTGCTCCCCCCATGCATAATTGTAAGGGTAAAAAGATTTTAACTTCAGCAGAGAAACAAGATATGTCTGTAACACAGTGTTAATGCAGAGAATTGTGAAAAATCTGAAACAAAATCATCCCAGAAGACGACACAAATACCCTCCATCCCAAGGACACACAGATAGTTTATACTTCCATGAAACAGAAGACTGAGGAACTAATACTGGGATATACTTTTTTGTTGTTTTTATAGGAAGGAAACAGAAAAATCAATATGGCTCATCAGTTACATCAAGATGTATTTTTACTGCACTCCATCCCAAGATGTTGAATAACAGTGTACATTTAAAAGAGGGAAATTATATATATATTTTTTTTTTACCTATACTTTTGCTCACAGATAGTCTTGGAGGAGAGTTTGCGTCTTCAGATTCTTCAGATGAGTGAGCCAAAAAGTCATGAAGCTTCTGCACCAACGTGTTCAACTTGCTTTCGCTGATAAAACACAGAAGTGTCACTTGAAATTATCTCTCTCATGCCTCTTTAGTATTATATTATGCAAACTTAAAATGAATACTGCTAGTTCTTCAATACTATATCCATAGTAACTGAAGAACTTCCAAAGCAAGGCTTTGGGTTTTTTTTTTTAAACAAAACATCTATCCTAAAAAGAGACACCAAAATAATAAAAAAATAACCCACATACAATTTTGAAAGAATTGTAAGTACAGATATGGCACTGAAATATAAGCATTTAAGACTACATTAGTATATAGTAAACAATAAAGCAAGTCCTATTTTAAAAGCTGAATTTCATGTAATTAAAATTTTTTTACAAGTGTCAAGAAAAGTACGTTGCTATTCAAAGAAAGGAAAGAACGTAACTTAAAAAAAAAACCAAAAACACTCTGATCTAAGAATTTCCTTAAATAATAGCTAAAAATCAAAGTGAGAGAATCACTGACACAAATATTAGTCAGTCTGTAATGCAAACAGCAATTGCTAGCAGTTGCTCTCTGTGTCTTAAAAATAAGTTGTCAACATGCAATTATGAATTGAGTGTTTCATACACAATAACCAGCAATGTGTGTATCTTGTCAGAAGACTATTGCTTAGGATTAGTATCTTTATTTGAATTAGTTTATTGATGTTACCACTAACAGATTTTTTTCAATTAGTCAGTTTTACAGAACAGTACCCATTGGTCATTTCCCTCCCATGTACCCAAGTTTTCTTATGAATAAGGCAAAGCTCTAATTCACCAGGTACCTTATTAGTACTTCCTATTTAAAAGCGTTTGTCTCAGGCCCTCCACAAATTTTTCTCCTGAGCTCATATGCCTTTTCAAGCTCTTGGTATAGTAATTGAAAAATCATACATAATCAACTATGCTGGTCCATGGATTAAAATAACTCCTTAACACAGTCATAGAAAGGACACACATGAATTGCATTTTTTAAATTATTTTCAAGACATTCAATTGTTTGATAGTGCACACTTCAAACGGTAATTTTTAAAAATGTATTAAGAAAAAAATTAAGGGTTTTCTGCTCCCCTACTTACAGTTTAGACAGTATTCAGCATAGATACAGCAGTCAAATCAGCTCAGGCCCACAAATCTACAAGTCAACCTGCTGCCTTTTGAATTTTAAACTTTAGCTAATGCTGCTACTGAACTACAACCACTTTCAGGGCCTGGGGAAGAACATGCTCTTCTAAAAACAATGCATGAGAGATTTAATGCTGCTGGCACAAATGACCATCATCAACAAAACAATGAAACTGACCATATACAAAGTGCATCCAGCAAACAAAAATCTCTGCTAGTCATCTGAGATGTTTATAATGTTTTTTAAACAAATGTTCATATTAAAATCCATTCTATATCATCACACACAACTTAAAGGCCAACAGTATAAGCCAGGTTCTTCTCACTCCAGCAACTTGCTGTCCTCAGGAGTTTCCTCTACTAAATGTCCCACATCACTTCCTGCAGCCCCATTGGCCAGGAATGGCAAACTGCAGCCACAGGAGCTGTCAGCAACCATACCTGCATACACTCAGGTAAATAAAGCATCTGGCAGCACACCTGTAGCTAATCCTGGCGAACCATGTCCAGCTTGCAGGCCACTTATTGTCCACCCCTGCTCTAGGGAGCAAAAAAGACCACAAAATGACCCTTTCACTTTTAAGACACCCTTTGAGAAGCTGTTCCTGAACCTCTCAAAAAGTCTTTCCCTCTGATCCTTACACCTCTCTCCAATCCTGCCAACCTTCTGGCTAATAAGCAAGGTTGAAAAGTATAACCACACATTAAGAAGCATAATTTAAAGACAAACTGATTCAGTTCTACTTCTACTTCATTAACTCTAAATCAAAATATATACCTTAGCATTGTCAAATGAGAGATGGCAGCCATCTCAGAATGCAACTGAATAAAGAAATCTATCCCCTATCCAGTTATTCTGACAAACTAACATAAACAAACTTTTGTGTGTAAAAATCCACTAGCGAGTTCTGATAACTTAGTATTTAAAGCGAATCACACATGCAGAAAAGCTTTTCAATATAAAACACAATGTAAGTTCCATCTAAATTATATTTATATTGAAATCTTAAGGAAGCTTCATTAAAACCTGAGTGGATTTGATTTAAATCGTTATTTAAATCACTATTCAGGAAGACTCAATTTAATCATGGTTTTCTACATAAAAGTGCATTCTTGTTGGTCGTTACAATCTTAAAACATTCTTTACCATTCAGAGATAGATGTAGGTTTCATTTTTAGAAAATATACTGTATATTTCTAAACAGTGATTTATTTTGAAAATTTCAAGATTTTACAGCTATATCAGAAAATGAATGACTGTTTGGTTATTTCATTTACCAAAGGTAACTGAAGCAGATATTTATGAAATCATTGGGAGGTGAACTATCATTAATATTTATAGGAGTTTCTTGCCATGCTGTATTAGGAGGAGAACATCATTTGGAGCACTAGCGAGGCTTAGAGCACCAGCTCCTGATTCCAGACACACGAGGGGGGAGGCAAAGAAAGCCCCAACTCGTGTCTGTCCCCAGTGTCCCCGAATCGCAGAGTCACCCTTGGGAGGGGTAGGGTCATGGGGGCCACAGCAAGGAGCAGAGGAAGAGGGGGCCAGGGCAAGGAGGTTATGTGGGAATTGGGGACTGGGATGTGATGTGGTCAGGCTCAGAGGGTTGGGAGTTTCTGGAGTAGTTTTTTTGCTTCTTACTTGTGTGGTCCCCAACTGATAGTTCCCCACCCCTACCATGAAGAAAGAAAAACACTGAGATATTTTGTGTTGGACATAAATTAATATTTTATTTTATTTTATTTACAGCGAAATTTGATAAACCAACATGAAAAAGCTAAATAGTTTAAATTAAACCATTCTCCCTAGCTACAGCACTAGCAAAATGGCTCAGGCATAATTATGTAATTAACGGTGAGTTTCCATTAGCAACTGGTGGTCCACAGAAATGTGTTCACTGAGCCAGGCGGTACACTGACCAAAAAGAGTTTTGAGAACCACTGTGCTAGAGAGTGAATGCTGCCCAGGCTGTGGCTCTGGGGTTGGGCAGTGGCAGGGGGCAGCTGAGAGGAGAGGAAAACAAATGGAGGGTCCTCCTGCCCCAAAGCTGCGTTGGCCCTTCAGTCCATGGCAGGAAGATAAGGGCCATCATAGACCGGACCCCAATGAGACCACGCCCCCCCGCAGACCTGGACACTCTAAGGTCACCCACCTACCCCTGCATCACCCATATCCTAAAAAAGAAAAAAACCCAGAGCCATCCTCACCCCAGCCTATGTTGGCAATCCACCTTCGCATCCCCCCTGCAAGATTGAAGCCAGCACCATCTTCCTTAAGAGGGGGCATGGGGAAGCCCCAATGCTCCGCATGGCTTCCAGGGAAGCACACACATGCTAGTCCTCCCCTCCCCAAAAGGAAAAAAGCAGGAGCAAAGCACAAGGCAAGAGATCAAGCAGGGTGCACAGTGGAGAGAGGCCCTCCCCCTCTCCCTGATGAGCGGCATAGCCCTGGGTAGGAGGGTTAAATCTTGGCACTTGACTTTGGAAATGTTGCTAACCCCTGCTCTAGAGACTTTTTGCACACTGATGAATTTCTCTTTCATACACTTTATCCAGCAATTTGTCTATGATATCTTGTGAACCATCTTCATGACTGAACCATGTTAATGAAGTATAGGTTCTAAATTATACAGAAAGGAGAGTTTGTTTCATAAACAAACCAGCATTTAATCAATTACCTCTTTTTTGTAAATTGCTGGTTCTGATCACAAACTTATCTGTGGTTGTTTATGGATGGTGAAGATTTTTTTCTTTATTACTACAGATGATATATACGATAGGACTTAAACACTACCTTTGGCAAAAAACTCTAAAACTATAGAAAACAATGGTGATCTTAAAGGTGAATATTCTTTAGAATCCTGTATGTTGAGAAAGGATTCTTCTAAACTGCATTGACTTACTCAATGAGCAATATGGTGGTAATAAACAAAGTATTACTCATTGGCACTCAGTACTATTTTAAAACATGAAATTGAAAAAGGAAGATCTGTCTATTTCAACTATTTACTTTATCACAACAACTATATTTATTGCTCAAACATGAGAATTCAAGAGTAGTCCAGAAGGAGGACAGGCAGTCCTGAAGAAAAAAAAGTATGAAAAAGTTTACCAACCTAAAGATCTTGCATGTTCAGACATGTTCCTTACAATCAACTTAAACACAACTTTCTCCTGAGAAGGAATACTTCTCATGATATTGTTTCATTCAGGCAACTTGGCCTTGTATTTCTTTGGGTATGTCTAAACTACATTCTATTTTCAAAAAAGGATATGCAATTCCACAGGATCTTTCGAAAGTGAACGTAGTCTGGATGCATTTTTGGGGGGGGAAACCCCGTTTTCAAAAAACCACATAAACCTCATTTTTCGAGGAAG